AAAAAATCCACCTCATTGGGACTCGATCCTGCAACCTTCCGGCTTGTATTATATTTGCCATCTATTCTTGTCCAGCACTGAAGTGGAACATGAATATTATATTTCCAGTATTCTATAAGATATGTTATTAATTTTGTCAAATAATCCTCTCCAGTACTGCAATGGAAGATGAATATCAGATTTCCAGTATTCTGTAAGATATGTTATTCATTTTGCCAAATAATCCTGTCCAGTACTGTAGCGGAAGATGAATATCAGATTTCCAGTATTCTGTAAGATATGTTATTCATTTTGCCAAATAATCCTGTCCAGTACTGTAGCGGAAGATGAATATCAGATTTCCAGTATTCTGTAAGGTATGTTACTCTTTCCCGTATAGAGTTCAGTATTCGTTGTAATTCTGTAAGATATGTTGTAATTTTGCCATATAATCCTGTCCAGTACTGAACATCATTCTAATGAAATTAATAATAAATGGAAACGTCAGTATTACTGTTTGCTATATATGATTTATAATGCTTTAATGTAACCAAAAAACCATGTTCTGTGTGGCTTTCAAGTGTAAGTTGTTACCAAAGGTGTGAGGTTAAATAGAAGTATGTGTGATGGAAACAGAATTTTCTTTGAAGTTCCCCACCTTCAGCTTTCCAAAATACAAGCATTCTATATACATTATAGTTCACAATGTCCAATGCATTTGGGTAAGGAGATGTTGGATTGATGTGAAAGAAATGTTATGGCTTTACAGGCACTGGTGAGAAACTTTCTGATTTTGCAATATCACTTCACTCGTGTCCGGTGGAACGGATATGAGTGAAGTGATATTGAACCCAGTTCAGAAAAAAAAAGAAACAACGGAGCAAGAACCACTGTAGCATAAGAGATTAGGTTGCAAAAGTATGTGTGCTATTAAAGTGAACTACGGTTCCGAAGGGTGTGTATGGTAGGACGCATAGGATGGTATGGTAGCATTCTATTTTATTGATGATGCTGTCGGCGCTGGTGGGCATTTTTCATTCAGTCTGCGTATAGATGGCAGCAGTAATGTTACGTGACGTCTCGCGGTCATGTTGCCCCCGCCATTTACGGTGAGTTTCGGGTGGTGGGGGTCGTCTGGTTAGTTGCAGTCGTTGGAATTAGTGATCAATGGTTTTCGTAGATTTCGTACGATATTGTAGATTCACCTAGGCGGTGTGTGGCTTGGTGTTGTTAAATATGACAATGAAGGGAATTTTGTCTACATTGTATGTTTGTTTTATTTTCATATTATGAAAGTGTATTACTGTATTACTTTGTGTACCAATTTCCTGTCAGAGAACGAACTCTTAATTAAACAGTTTTAAAACATGTCAATGAGATATCTTTCGGAAGTGCTGTGTGTAATGTTTGTCACCCTGGGGGGTTAATGTTTATGGCGATGTAGGTTGTAAAGGAGCCAGATGTTATTTATTTTAATTTTAGGACGTAACGTATTATCAGTTTTAACTTCGTAATGGCTCACGGATCCGGAATCTTATCGTCTGATATCAGCAGAAGAAATCCACAAGATGAGTATGAACTGATTCAGCGAATAGGAAGTGGGACGTATGGAGATGTTTACAAGGTTCGTATTGTCAAAATCAACTGACGTTGATTTTGGCGTGCTTTGAATGGGTCCAAAGTTACACACTCAGATTTTAGAGGTGTTTGTATATTATACTGACATTATATACCACCAATATGCTCTTTGTAATTTGCGTCTTGTACGCCCAGTGTCTGAAAGAAAGTTGGTTAGCTCGAGTGGTATATTCCTTGATGTGGCTTTGTAAATTTGCAGTGTCATACAATAAGAGCAATCACTAAGGGAGTTTATACATGCGGTATTTTGTATTCGAACACATTGTAGTATGTCGCATTCAGTAACCCAAATTATGAAATTGTAACTGTTTTGAAGTCATAATTCTGAAAATAAATGTGATTTTGGAAGGCGGTAGGAGTTATATACAAATTGTGTGTCGGTTTTTTCTTGTAGGGAATTAAATGCGTTTTCTTAGTTTGATTTCCGTTATATTGTATTTTGTTAAAATGTTTTTTGTAATAAAAGTCATGAGAGTGTATATGTTTAAGAGCAGTTATGACTCGCTTGGTTGAGACAGCTGTCTGACATATAATATTAACTACTCCTTTTTAATACATTATCTAGAGCAATGAAGGTTTCCATCTTTTTGGCATAGATGGCAGTTGCCATCTGTGTGGATGGTAAATCCTTTTTATCAATTCCCTTTCCAACTGTGTCTCTCCAAAACTCTTCAGGGTCTCATTTTCTAAACAGGTGGTAACAAAACTATTTCAGCTCTTTATTTCCAAGTCGTGTGGTTGGGAATGAATTTTTCATCACTCTGTCTTCTTACATCATCGTGTCTGATGATTGTTCCATCATTTCACGAGTAAACCTCGTTTGATCAAAAATCTCTGTCACCCATTTTTGTCAACCACATAGTTGCTGTGTATTGGATTTCACACGTTTTCTCTGTTTCTTCCAGATGTTCCATCATATCCCACTTACTGCTCACTGCCAGATCTGTATAAAAGTTTTATTCCCAAATGTTGAAGTTATAAATTTAACACCAGCCACAAACACCAGAGGACAGCAGCTGTAAAATGCTAGCTATTTTCAGTGACTTATTTCCATGTATTTTATTTATGTTCTTGAATGCGGTCTTATGCTGTTTCCTATTTCATTCATACAAGGTCTTTTGTACAAATAGTTTATGCAGTGGTAAAGTGAAGCTCACTACATGCTTAATGCTAATGCTGAGTCTTAGGAATGCATGGGCCCTAATATAAAAACTTCATATACACTTTCCCGAACTGTGTATTTCTGGATTAGGTTATTTATTCTTGAAAGTTAAGAAATCATAATTTTTAATAGACTGAAAATAATGCTTCTTGTTCATTCTGGGGGAAGCAGATTTCCATGTAAGCACCTGACAAGGTGCATTTTATATTTCTGTCTCTGTATGGGGTCTGCTTCCTTATGCAGGTTCCAGGCCTGGAGCTTATGCATCCTGTAACACATCCCTACTTTTTGCTTGTTACGTTATATGATTTTATTAATATCAATGTATCCAGCTGCTGATATACTGTTATTACAGCCAGAGGCTGCATGTACATATAGACAAGGTTCTGTGCGAGACAGATAAGCCAATGGCAGCTAATGGTGATGTTGGATGCTTTCTGGCCACTGAAATAGTGGAGGTGAATCATGTGTGTTCCTACACATAAACCCAGAGTACTGATGCCTAGAACATGTAATGTTAAGCAAGCAGTGTAATTAAAAATATAAAGCCTTACCATATTCTTGTTCTCAGAGCTTTGATGATAATTATTGACAGAATGTCTTCATACATATGTATAAAACAGTTTCATTATAATAAAAGAACAGTCATGGTTTGCGACTGCCATCATCCTCTCCACCGTCCATGTCACTCATTATCGATTTGTCATTTTTATCTCCTAAATTTGCAGCAATATGATGCATAACTTTGTTCTGAGCTATTTCTCGTCAGTACTCCTCCGCTAACTCTGGGGCATGTCAAATCCAGTCCTCCTTAGTGACTGTCAATTGCTTTGTTAATTAGTCTGTCAGCAACAGATGGTCTAAAAGTGCTGATGAGTTCACGGACTGCTCCCTACACTTTAGCCCATATAGACTATTGACAATGGTAAGGAGGTAATCTGATTGCAAGATGACCCATATTATTAGCTGTCTGATCCAGTTCATGTGGCTTTTCTGAGCTTACTTAATTCAGGTATGATATCTATAGGGTCATGTTCAGTACAGTTCTTTTACAGACATTCTTGAATGCCACTTTTACAAGACTTTGCGTTAGGGACTTTGTCTTTTATGGTAGAATGGTAACTGATCTTGGTCGTAATTGTGATGGATCCTTCATCTGGATAATTAGAATATATATACAAACCGGGGTCAGAAATTGTCCGCTTTCATCTCCAAATTATAATCAGTTTTTCATTTGTGAACATGAAAGAAATCTGCTTGCACTGAGAAATAAAGCCTGTTTTTTGCTGATCCAATATGGCACACAAAACGCAGTAGCATAGTTGGTTGAGGCACTATACTACAAACCGGAAGGTCACGGGTTCGAGTCCCCACGAGGTCATTGGATTCTTTTCAATTGACCTAATCCATCCAGCCACACTATGGCCCTGGGGTTCACTCAGCCTCTAACAGAAATGAGTACCAGGAATTAATTAAATAATTTTCCTGGGGAGTAAAGCACAGCTGACGCGTAAGGCTGACAACCTTACCACCATCTGTGAGCCGATTGTCTAGATAATGTGGGACCCTCAACATCTCACAACCCTATGGGCCTTCACGGCCTGTTACAGGGATAGCTATACTTATATGGCACACAGTTAACCTGCTCCCTTTTTATGGAGGAATTTCCAGGCTTCCCTTTCTTGATTCATCCTGCCAAATGTATTTTCTTGAACAGTTAACCAGTGTTTCATCTGAATAGAAAATAGAGCATTCATCTGCCTTTGTATAATACTTGCAACGTTTTTTGTCTTTCAGGCAAAGCGGCTAAATACAAATGATCTAGCAGCCATCAAAGTAATCAAATTAGAGCCAGGTAAGATTACCTGTTAAAAAATCATGTAAGTAATTGCTTGTGTTGATAGTTTCATGGGTTAGTGACTAGACTCAGGGTTCAGATTAATAATTGAATTTATTGGATACTTTCTATACTTATCTATAGTTAATTACAACACTTGTATTGCTCTTCACAATCTGCAAATAACAACAGAACTTTTCAAGTCTTCCCTGACTACTGTATCTTCACTTACTTGTGGTTTTGGCAAGCTAAGGGACTCATACGAGGACCTTCTGATAAAAGAGCAAAGGAACTGTTGAAGCTCAACAGGAACCAGCTACGACGGGTGGTAGGACTACTTACAGGACACTGTCACCTCAAAGGACACCTGTTCAAACTGGGACTAAGTGATAGTCCCACTTGTGAGAGGTGTCAGATAGAAAATGAAACAGCCACACACGTCCTGTGTGAATGTGAGGCTTTAGCTTCTTTAAGACTACGTCACTTGGGTCAGTACTTTATGGAACCAAGTGACTATTTCGACTCCCCCATGTCCAAAATCCTGCGCTTCATCCGATGCGTGGGGTTGCTGAGGGAATAATTAAAAAAGGGGAAGCACAATGGACCACTGAGGTCTAAGTGCAAGGGCCGAGCAGGCCTACCCCTTCATACATACATACATACATACTTGTGGTTTGTTTATGGCCTCCAATTATGGTACTCTCCTTGATGTTTCTGTTTGACGCCTGTGGCTCCAGGTTTCTCAGATGTTTTATATAGCTTTGTTGTGGGCTGATGAGAATCACTGCTCCTGACAGTTCATCTACTGATACATGTGTATTCATTGCCATGAAAACATGCTTTAATTGTTCATTGTGTAGCAGTGGATGCCTCTACGATGCTTCTCTGACTCCAAAATTCAGACTTCAGGTACCTTGTCAAAATATGCTGCATATGTATGGTATGCAGTTACTTCTATCACGTTATCAAGAAAACCTCAAGCAGCTCTTTAGCTGAAAAGGTTCCATTCCTGAGGAAAAGCTTGCCTCCCTTTTGGATCACTGTCACTTTGTGCTATTGCTGAACTTCACTTTTCTTTTGAAAATGTTAGGTGACGACTTTGCCATCATCCAGCAAGAAATCCTTATGATGAAGGATTGTCGGCACCCAAACATAATTGCATATTATGGCAGCTACCTACGCAGAGACAAATTGTGGATTTGCATGGAATATTGTGGTGGCGGATCCCTTCAAGATATATATCACAGTAAGTGGTTTCAGTATAACCTTATTTATCAGCTATATTTTGTGAAAACAATAAGATTTTTCTTTTCACTTCAGCAGTAGTTCTCAGGCTATAATGTATACACGTGAAAAGTCCTTAGTAATATAGGAATGTGATAGCTCATCAAACATACAGCTTGCTATGTGAGGAAGATTTAGCTCACATATGTTCAACAAGATCTAGACTGCTCTGCCTCTGGCCTGCTTGCTTGAAAATGTTGACTGTCCAAGTTCATGGCTTGGAGTTTAAGTGGGGAAATAGTATGTATAACAGAGTCAAAACTCGTGGTAGGTTTGACTGTGATCATCCCCAATAACTTATGGGAGGTATGAATCTAATCCCCATTACTAAAGTAAAAAAGCAAAGGTATCTCTGTAACAGGCTGTGGAGGCCCATAGGGATGTGAGATGTTGAGGTTCCGACATTTTCTAGATGGCGGCAAGGTTGTCAGCCTTATGCGCTGGCCGCCCTGTACCCCCAAGATAATTCCGTGTACTCATTTCTGTTAGAGGCTGAGTCAACCCCAGGGCCATAGTGCAGCTGGAAGGATTAGGTCAATTGAAAATCCAGTGACCTCATTAGACTTGAACCCGCGACCTTCCGGTTTGTAGCATAGTGCCTCAACCAATTACGCTAGTGCGTGCCCCCAATCCCCATTACTGCTAACTAAAATTTAATTGAAGGTTTTAGATAATCTTACTTTGCCCCTGTTTAGAAAAATACCAGGAACAATTTGGTACAGTTACTTAAGTATGTTGAATTTATATAAACCAAATTATTTAGCAACATATTGCAGTAATAAAAGATGTGCAGGTCTTTACACCTTTATACATATTTGACTTTGTTTGAAAATGATCTCTTTCATTTTTTTTTGTGTGATGGTCATATTCATAGATTCTTTACACCTTCTCTCATTATGTTTGAAGCAGCCTTGTCAAAGAGACAGTACTCTCCCAGACCACCTTTCCTAGACATCAGCTGTCCAATAAATATTAATATAATATTATAATATTATATATATTATATATATATATATTATATAATATAATATTATAATAAATATTAATATAAAAATTAAATAAGTAATTTATAAATTCTGCTGCAGTTCTTTGGCTATGTTTCCAAGTGCATAAGTTTTATTGGTGGAATCACTAGCATACACAGAGGTTTGGCCAACAGTTTTAGCATGTTGTTCAAACATTTGTTAGCTGGTCAGTGGTCAGCATGCAGTGACTCATATAATGATACAAACAGAGTCTGCTTCTACAAAGCCACCCTGATAAGTGCCACAGTTCATTTCTGTCAGTCACCGCTCATTTGTTCCTGTAATCAGTCACCAGTGAGCATTTATTATAACTGTATCAAACCATAGTGAGATATAATATTGAACAACATATGTTTTCTCATTGGAAATTAAATTAAAAGGAAAAAATCTTATGACAATTGTGGCAGTTCCCAGCAGGAATAGACATCAACCAAAATATGCTCATACCAGAAGCTGTTCAGGATATTCTTACAAGGCTCAAATTGAGCCAAAACAATTTTCAAGTGTCCCATCTTCAACCTCCAAATCCAGTTTTAAGACTTACTTTTGCAGTTTGCTTTTTAAAAATATTTGTGTTTTTATAGTTGACTCTCAGCTTCTTTTCATGACAAGCCTGGTATCATTTCTTTGATTTCATAAACTCATGGAACACATGCCATTGGGACAGTGGGGTTCTGATAATCCACAGATAGGTACTAGCTCTATCAGTTGGGTCAATTTGAGTAGGTTGTTGCCTGACGATTAAGACAGAGTTTGGTCTCTGAAATGTTGTTTTTATTTAAAAACCAGGATGATGGATAATATCCAAAAAGTCAATAATTATATTAATAAACCATTGTTACAAACTTTAGATCTTATTCACATACTATCTGCCAGACATCATTACATGATCAGAGAGTCAGTAAATTAGATGCTTTCAGTGTTAGAAGAATCCTAAAGTTCATTACTTCTTATGACACTTTAATGCAGAATGATATGTGAATGAGATTTTGGGGCCCTAAAGCATGATCACCAGGGCTCAGATTTTGATGACCTGAAAATATTTTAAAAAATGACCGAACAAATCCAGAAAAGAGACCTAAAGGAGAAAGAGAAAGAACACTTCGCTTCCATGTTATTCACATATCAGAAAACATATGAAGAAAAATTCCCTAAAATGGCCAAAAATGATGAGAAATACCCTTAAAAGTCCAAAAATTTACCAAAAAGTGACCCCCAGATTGAAAAAATGACCTTAAACCTAGAAATGTCAAAAAATGACAAACGTGACCTATAAAAGTTACATTTCTGTAACCAGCAGATCATATCCAAGATTTATATATTTAAGAGTATCACATAGGATACAAGGAAGACAAGATGACATGTCATCAAAATCCGGGCCCTGATGATCACAATTTTGACTACTGAAACCAGTCTCCGGACATGCACTTGCATGTCTGCTACCTGGGCTGTCATGGAGCTGGACTGTGCTGCTGCCTATTGATACACATAGAACACCTGTTGCATCCATTACAATTGTTTTACTTTCATTTGTGACCTGTTTACTGGCTCTTTCTAGTAACTGAAAAAGAAATGAAAGGTAGCCATATTTTCAACTTGACAGTGTGCCAACACACTGTAGGATATTCAGCATGGTCACTGTGGACTTTTTGATGAACAAATAATTACTGGATGACTGTCACCTTCATGTTCCCCAAATCTTACTTTCTTTGATTTTTATCTGTGAGAAAATTTGAAATAGACAGTTTACAGGAATGACACCCACACTTTGGAGGATTTTCAGGTTGAAGTCTGGAGTGTTATTATACAAATCATGGAAGGTGAAGTTATATCACAGAATTTGTGTTGGTGTAAAGAATATGTTAATGTTGGAAGATACCTCTTTCAGCAGCTGTTATAGTAGGAGGTAACTAAATTAAAATACAGTTTCACTGGTAGCATTTTTTTTGTACATCTTATGATAGCAATCAGTTTTCTTGATGGACTGAAATAAAACAGCCAGGTTTACTTATAGCTTCATAGTGCCTTCCTTTAAAGTAGATTTTGCAGCAAGAAGTGGCTCATGACAAAAAAAGGACCATTATAAGGCTACTAGAAAGGGAGGTTCTTTTCAGAACGGTGAAGTCGAGAGGAAATATATTTCTTGTCCTTAGACCTTACCTTCAATTCTGTTCTAAGAAGGCTATTGATAGGATGTGAAGGAAGTGGCTGTGACATATTTCAAGATCATGTAGCAGCATTTTGAGGTATTCAGTAAGGATAACTTGTTTGTTTCGTGTTTGCAAGGCAGGAGCACTGAACTATACTTTGATATTTATACTGTGTTCACATATGCTTCATGCTTGTATATCTGGAGCAATTTTTCTTGTGTTTTTAAGTTACAGGTCCACTGACTGAACCACAAATTGCTTATATGTGTAAGGAGACTTTACATGGGCTGGCATACCTACACAGCATGGGGAAGATGCATAGGGATATAAAAGTAAGTTGGAGTACACATTCCATCAGAAGCACTGACAGTGGTTCATCATAACAGTAGAGCAATCCTCAGATATTTTAAGGAAACTTAATGGTGAGAGCTGGAATACCTCATTGCCTATGGTGATTATGGTATGACCTGGACAGCCAGTGTTTGATTCTTGGCAGGAGCAGAGATTTTTCTTTTCATTACCATGTCCCTACTGACACTGAGGCCAGTCAAGTATCCAATCTAGTGAGTACTAGGGGCCAACCCAATATACTATCTATTGAGTACCAGGAGTTTGTCCCCTGGGGGAAAAATGCCGAGGGTCTGCAATAGGGATCAGAAAGAGACACAAACTGGCCAAAAATATACATTTTCATATCTGTATATTGGATCCATTCTTCACAAATTCAGAGCTCCAAGTAACGATTTTCTTCCCATTACATGGTGTGTTCAAAAAGCATCGAACCTTTGGTCAGCAGAAATACATTTATTGATTTGGAGGTACAAAACCCTAATCCCCTTAAAAGTAGTCTCCTTGGTAATGCACACACTTCTCCCAGCGCTTCCGCCATTGTTGGAAACACTTCTGGAACGCGTCTTTTGGAATGGTGATCGGCCAGGCCATCACATTCTGCATGATGTCTTCTCTTGACTCAAATCGGGTTCCTTTCAGCGGCATTTTCAGCTTGGGAAATAGCCAAAAGTCACACGGAGCCATGTCGGGGGAGCAGGGAGCTTGATGAACCACAGGGATATTGTGTTTGGCGACGAAAGTCTGAATCAGATGCGCAGAATGGGTGGGTGCGTTATCATGATGGAGCTGCCAAGTTTTTTTTTGCTGCCCACCGATCCAGTCGTNGGGGATGTCAGATGTTTCCACTGTGACGACTGCATCTTGGTTTCCGGGTCGTACCCATAAACCCACGACTCATCGCGTGTGATCACGGCGTTCAGAAAGTTGGGGTTACTGTTTGCATTGTCCAGCATGTCCTGTGTGATTTCCAGTTGGCATTGCTTCTACTCCATTGTTAGCAGTTACGGTACGAATTTCGCGGACACTCTCCTCATGCCCAAATCCTTGGTCAAAATCGAATGTACCGATCCGATGCTTACCCCTATCTCGTTCGCAAGTTCTCGGACTGTGATACAACGGTCCTCCATGACCAAAGTCCTTACTTGCTCAATGACATTCTCATTTGGGCTTGTTGAGGGTCTGCCTGAACGTGGTTCGCTGTCCACTGATGTGCGGCCATCTTTGAAGCGGTTGTACCACTCCTTTATCCATGAGTTTCTCATGGCATCGTCCCTGAAAGCCTGTTGAATCTTGCGAATGGTTTCCACTTGGGTATCACCAAGCTTTTGGCAAAATTTGATGCAGTATTGCTGCTCATGTTGTTCTGTCATTTTACACCTTACTGGAATCCGACAAGCGCTCACTACACGTCCTCACTCATAGGCCGACTGCCAGTGACTGACGCTTTCTGTGGGCGGGAAAAAATTCACGACTGTGCATGAATGTCCCTTCCACATCTCCACCAAAGGGAGCCTCCCGCACTTCATTGGTTTACACGGGAAAAAAGAAGGTTCGATACTTTTTGAACACACCACGTATATGACTGCCTGTACATAACCCATTGAAGATGTTAGCAGAATCATACTTACTTTCCTTCCTTCCTTCCTTTCGTATAATTGTCTCCGATCTCCCTTACTACCATATTTTCTTGAATACACCACCTGCATTTTTCGGAAGCAGTTTGTACCAAAAAGTAGTGTGTGCAGCTTAATCACATCAAAGTTAACAGCACTACTTATTTGTCATATTTAGCACTTTCGCACAATCCAGAGGGTACTAGCCCACTCCTCTGTTAGCTTTCGTCTTTGCACATGTCATACTCTACTAGAGATGGTGCAATTCATCTCAGTTTATTCACAAGTGAAAGTCAGCATTGTGATTTGGAATGAAAAAAGAACAGAGAACAAGGGGTATGCAATTAAGATATTTCATGGTAAGTGAAAAATTGAAGATAAGGGATAAAGGAAATGGAATATATTTCATTCGAATTGGTAAGAAAGAGTTTCCAAAAGTGCTGCATTTCAAATAGCCTTAATGGGGTCAGAAGATGATCTCATTCAGTATAGTGATGAGTGCATGAGCTCTACTGATGACCATGATGATGATGATGATTAAGAAGAAAGCAATGCATAATAAAATGCCATAGGTACCATAATCTCTGTTTCTAATTAAAAGGTTAATTTGATGAAGTTGCAACAGAATAAAGATGAAGTACTACAAGGAAATGCTAACACTGCATAATTTTCACGTTGCGGGACACCAGGTCTCAGGAAATGCAAATGTAGCCATGCTGGAAATAATACAGATGTTCTTTTATATGAAATAATGTGTAAAATTTTATGTGTTAATACTTAAATTTTTTTTTTCATCTTAAAAATTGGGATACACAGCTTTTTTAAGGGCATGGGTTATTAGCGAAAGTACATTACTTTCCGATTTCCTTTGTTCTATTAGCATTGATTTTCCCCTTCTTTTCTCCCTCTCCATCATGTTAAAACATTTCCCTCACCCCAGTTCTTCTCTTCCTCTGTCCCTTGTGTGTTTATCTTCTTCACTTCTTTCTTCTGCATTGCTTTTGCATCTCCTATTTATTCACCTTATTATCATGCCTCCCCTGCATCTTAGTAACTTCAGGCACTACTGTCTGTTTTCCCCATATCTTAGCAGCAGTGCACTGTGGTTTCTCCAAACTTAAAAGAAACTGGCTGTTGTTTATATGTTAACATCTAAATTATCCTTTTGTAATAAAAAAAGCAAATTTCTCCCCCAAGACATTTTATTTTTTATTTTGGCCCCTAGTTTTTGGAGATGGCCACTCTGAACTCACTCCTCCATATAGTGCTGAGATTAAGAATATGTGTGTTTAGTTAAGAACAGGAATATATCTTCATGATGTGATGTTTAATTAAACACAGGAATAACTTTACCCTGACAATGGTTTAGCTGGTTGTTAACATATTGTAACGTGTTTTCGTTACTGATCCCACTTCTGACACCAGTGTAACGTGNATAGCATGTAGACCTTTTACTGGGTAACGATTGTGAAACAAACAGTGAAAAATCATCCACTGCTAGGCAACAGATTCTTAATAAGCAAATATGCAGCTGTTACTTAGTAACGCCTTTGGAAACAAACATGTTCCCACAGCAGCAGACAAACTAATGGAAACAGTGTTTTCCATGCAGTCCATACCAAGATGTTATAACCGAGACAAGTTTAGAAGTTATTCAGTTGTAAGGGAATCTGTGAAGAGAAGATATAGTCAGTGCAGTTGAAAGCCAGTGGGCAGCGAAGTGAGTGCAGAAGCAAAGAATCCCTACTGTTAGAAGCCATTACCATGGAACAACTGGTGAAGACACAGCAGACTGAAAAGACTTAGGATGTTATAGTGATTTGTAAAGTGTGGAGATCAGTGATCGTGCTATAATTAATTGTAGTCATGAGGCGTGTGTTAAAGTGGTCAATAAATCCAATCTCCCATTGAAACCCTGTCTGTAGTCATTCATACACATGAGAATATGTTTTGCCATACTGACCTGTGCTATTTTTCCTGTTGTGATCCAGTATTGAGGTAGCAAACACATTTTGCTTTTTTCAAAGATGATTGTACTCATAGATACTGTGGAGAGTGTTCAGATATATTTGTATAACTGAAACTATGGGTGTAAATATTATGAGGACTGTTTTATAGTTCAGTAGGTAACAGAGTGAGAATTAGGGACATGGTTTTTGTTTCTGAATGTTAGTTGGTGTAATGCATTTTGTTACACTCTGGGTGTTTTCATTATCATATCCTGTTTCCTATCATGTAAATAAAAGTTTTATATGCTTATGTATGTTTCTGACAGTAAAAGTAAGTAAAAAGGAAAGCTATCCCTATACCAGGCCGTGAAGGCTCATAGGGTTGTGAGACGTTGAGGGTCCCACATTATCTAGACAGGCAGCTCAGAGATGGTGGTAAGGTTGTGAGCCTTATGCACTAGCGGCACTTTACTCCCCAGGAAAATTATTTAATTAATTCCTGCTACTCATTTCTGTTAGAGGCTGAGTGAACCCCAGGGCCATAGTGCGGCTGGAAGGATTAGGTCAATTGAAAAAAATCCAGTGACCTCATAGGGACTTGAACTCACGACCTTTCAGCTTGTAGCATAGCCCCTCAACCAACTACACTACCGTGTACCCCCATGTTTCTGACAGTATTCTGTTGATTTTTAGTAGGCATAGACAAAAATTAGTAATTAATCCCATATTAATGTGTTTTCTACTTCTCTAGGGTGCCAATATCTTACTAACTGAATCAGGTGATGTGAAGCTTGCTGATTTTGGAGTGTCTGCACAAATTACAGCAACAATCAACAAAAGGAAGTCATTCATAGGAACACCATATTGGATGGCACCGGAAGTGAGTGCCATAATGTTTTTCTAACATGTCTTATTGCTATTTGTTAAGAACTTCTGTGTTTAGCCAAGAAGGAGCAGCAAAAATTTAATGCGGGAATTAAATTGAAATTATTTGAAATATTGTTTTCATAGGCTATTTAACCCCTTAAGCTGGTGTCCCAAGTACATCCTCATCAGGCTGTGATTTTTGCTGCTCTTTAAATATTGCTGCAGTGTACAACTAGTAGGGGTTAAAATGCCACCTTGAGGGGTTAATGATGCTGTCAGTATTTGGACTACAGCTATTGCTTTTTTTTTATGAACTCTCAATCCATTGGTTGTGGTGTATTTTATTTTTATGATGTATATGTTTTTCTTATTATATAAAATATGGGATTATGTGTATCTGTTAAAATATCATACATCATATCATCATACAGACAAGAATATGGTGGCATAATTCAGTTAAAGACAGTAAAAAGGAAAGAAAATAAAGAAGAAAGGTTATGAAAAGATATAGTAGGTCTGGAAATGGATTTGTAAAATGACTGAGTCACAGTAGGTGAGGTATCTTCAGCAGCAACAGCAGCAGTAGATGATGACGATGGTGGTGGTGGTGGTGGTGGCGGCGGTGGCGGCTGCGGCGGCAGTTCTAATAGAATGCATTATATGGCGGGCAGAATATTGGCATTGTGTAGAGGTTTTACAGAGAATAGTAGTGTGATATTTGTGTCTGCTTAATATAAAATTTAAGTTGGTGTGAAGTGGAATTTTGTACCCCAGGTTGCAGCTGTTGAGAGGAAGGGAGGCTACAATCAGTTGTGTGACATCTGGGCCATTGGCGTAACTGCAATTGAGCTTGCAGAGTTGCAGCCTCCAATGTTTGATCTCCACCCTATGAGGGCACTTTTTCTTATGTCAAAAAGTGGCTTCAAGCCACCTACATTAAAGGATAGAGACAAATGGTAAGGTCTGGAGTCTAAACACTGCATTTTTAACTGAATTTGAAGTACCTCTTTTCCTGTGAATTTATTTTGCAAGAACCTATTATCATCTTTTTTTGCCAGGAAAGAAATATATTGCTTGTGTCTGTTCTTATATGACGGTAAATATTTTATAGTGATGTTAGGAAAGGGCCAGACACTGTTGCACCATTATTACAGTTACATGATTGGAATTTTTCATTCAGATTCGCAGGAGTAAGAATCATGTGGTCTTTGAATGGACTACATGCTTTTGATAATGATTTGCATAAGGCAAAATATGCTTACAGACCTTTCTTGGAAATAATTGCTGTCAAAACCAGAAATGGAGAAAGTAATAGGAGGCTTAAGAAAGCTGTGATGAGGATCTTCATGATTGAAACTTGTCACAAAATATTTTATTAAAGTCTTCAGATCAAGGAGGATAAGATGGATGGGACATGAAGACCGGCAATGCTTACAAAATTTTGGTCAGAAAATCTGAATGGAAGGGCTCTGGAAGTCCCAGATATAGTTGTGAGAATAATATTAAAAAATAGATCTTAAACATGCAGGTCATGAACTGGATTCATCCTACTTAGGATAGGGGACATGGACTCTTATGGACATGATATTGAATGTTTGAATTCCATAAACGGTGGGGAATTTCTTGACTAGTAGAATGATTATTTGCTCCAGATAAAGTACTCCCCTCCATGGACTTAGATACTTATTTGCTGTTGGTAAATATACACTGACTGCAGTGTAATAAACATTGTAGCTTGTGTTGAATTTTTGTACTCTTACATATTGTAGTTGGATATTGTTATTCTGAAGTAGAATTAATTTAAATGCAGCAGTTTCCAAAGCCATGTTTTTGAATGGTCTTAATATGATTGTATTGTTAAGAAGTTCTGTCTTCTGGAATATAACACCATGTAGTTGGTTTAAAGTCAACCGATGGTTCAGAGGAGCATGTCTCCTCCATCTTCAGGGTTGAAGAATAAGAAACCAGTTTGAAAGCAAGTGGCAAGCAGAGCTGTGCTTTGCTGCCTTTCATGCTGGTTTGTTGCTTGTCTTATTCTTCGACCCTGAAGATGGAGGCAACATGCTCCTCTGAAATGTCAGTTGACTTTCAGCAGGCTACATGGTGTTATATCCCAAAAGCTAGAACTCTTAATAAGCATCACTGTAAGAATCCAAAATCCTGCATGACAGTATTATTGGTTTTCATATGTATATATACTACAGTGATTTTCTTCTTCTTTTTTTTTTCTTTGTTTGCAGGAGTCCTACCTTCCACAATTTTGTTAAAGTAGCATTAACTAAAAACCCCAAAAAAAGGCCAACAGCAGAAAAACTATTACTGGTGAGTGGGTGGCATGTATATATATAAGCTGGTGAGAGTGAACCACGTGGAAGATGTGAACACAATAATGGAAACACGAAAGAATTCAGGAATAGAATATGTTTGTATTGGCTATTCAAGAACTTCAGTTGGCAGTTCCATTTCAAAGTGTGTTGAATTTAGCATTGCATTGTGCATTTAGCTGGAGCATCTGTGACAAAAACTGCCACATTTTTAGGTGTATCGAGAGCAACAGTTTCTGAAATCATGTCGGCATACATGAATCACTGGAAGACAACATCAGCAAAGAGGAACAGTGGGTGAAAATCAGCTTTGACAGAAGTAGATCATCGTACACTGAGAAGGATTTTTTAAAAAAAGTCAGAGAACTACTGCAGCATAGGTGAAGTGCTGCAGAACTGAATATTCATCCTGAAGACCCTGTTTCCACAAAAACTGTCCATCGTGAGTTTCACAAATCCAACATGCATGATAGGGCTGTGATTGTTCAACCTCTGATTAGTGAGAATAATGCCAGATGGGTAAACAATGGTGTCTTGACCATAAAACCTGGACATCACCCAACTGGAAACATGTGTGTGATATGGTCAGATGAAGTCGTCCTTCACACCGTTCCTTACATCAGGTAGAGTTTTTGTTTGGAGAACAGCCAAGGAAGCCTACAATCCAGAATGCCTGATTCCAACAATGAAATGGGAGTTCGTGATGGTTTGGGCAGCAGTGTCATGATACAGTATTCTTTTGGTTCCATTATTATCCTTCATGGCCTACTTACTGCTGTGGACAGGTTGGGTAATCAGGTGCATCCCATGAGCCAGACATTTCTGAACAACAATTCAGTTTTCCAAGATGACAGTGACCCCATTCACACAGCTGGAACTGTTCAGCCATGGTTTGAAAGGCATGAAGGTGAACTTCAGCATCTTTCCTGGACAGCATAATTGCCAGATTTGATAATCATTGAACCACTGTGATCAGTTTTGGAGACTAGAGTCAGGAGCAGATTCTCACCTCCCAACATCTCCAAAGCAACTTGAAGATGTTCTTTGAGAAGAATGGTATAAAATTCCACTACATACTCTTCATAACTTGTATGAGCCCATTCCAAGAACGATTGTTGCTGTATTGAAAACAAAAGGTGGTCCAACATCATATTAATAAAGAAATATTTACAGTGTTTCCATTATTTTGTTCAGCACCTCTATGTGTGTGTGTGTGTATATGTATGAATAAAATATATATATTTTTTTTAATTTTAATGAAGTCTCATAATTGGATATTAAATCAAATTGGTTATTGGAATGCTAATTCTTAAATTTTTTGCAGCATCCATTTTTCCAAAGTGAAATGAGTAAAAGACTTGCACTGGAGCTACTACAGAAAGTAAGCAATCCATCACATATGTTCACCGAATTGGAGGCAGATGATGATGGGGTAGGTAAAGTAGCAGTTTTGGTGTTTGGTGGTTGACCTGAAGACTTTAAGTTTAAAACTTACATTGAGAACAATACCTATTTCAGGCGGTTCCAAATGTTCCTCAGAGAATAGCATCAAAACACACGTCGGCTCGAGCAAAGGCAAGACCGATAACAGATGTCAGTATCAACCATAACAGTAAGTATTCTCAATTAACTGAAACACTGTATCACTTTCATTAACCCCTTGTCTTGGCAATTAAATGGCCTACTGCTCTACTAACACTGGCCATTCATATCTGTAGTAATGCCAACTCTGTGGGGTTTGCTCACATCAGTGCTATATTTTCATCAGGTTTTGTGATTCTTTGGCAGTTGTTTGAATGAGATAGTAGGCTCACATGCTTACACTGCTGGGGTTATGCCCACCTGTCAGTTCTTGAAGGAATAGAGAAATAATTTATTTTAAAAGTACCTCCTCATAGACAAAAAAGGGAATTATCAAACTAAAGGATGTCAAATAAATTAGGCTAAAAAACATGCAAGAAATTATGCAAGGTACATAAAATTGAAGAGTTCTATCATCTGGGTTGTACCATTATGTATTCTATTGAAAGAGAACCAGTGTTTATGAGGAACGTGTCCCCTCCATCTTCATAGTTGATGAGCAAGCCAAGCAAGAAACTACCATGAGGCAGGCAAGAAGCGAAGAATTGCTATAATTATTATAACTGTAAATTTATATTTCCAACTGTGTTTTGCAGACGCCAGTCACTGACAATATGCAAGAGCTATTTGGAAAATAACCTCTCTTTATTTTAGGCAACTAATATAAGAGCAGGGGAGAGCTTGCACACATGAAGTAGCATCACATGACTCATTGCCTTGTAAACTATCATATAACTGGTCATCTAGTGTTTCTTCTCATCTCTACAAAGTGAGTTACGATGTGTCCCGCAATTGATAATTCTGCCAGCTGTTATCAGCTTTCTTCATGCTAAAAACATGAATGCTATAGAAATCCATTGTGAAGTATTTGCAGTTTATGGCCAAAGTATAATGCATGAAGGAACTATAAGACAATGCTGTAAGATGTTCAAAGATGGGCGAACGAATAGTCATGATGAAGAGCGAGGTTGTCGACTCATGGTGAGTAATGGTTTTGTGGAAAGAGTTGACTAAAAAATTTGAGAAAAGTTGTGAATCACAATTTCAGATCTCTTGTGTGAATTTCTACAAATTTCATGCAATGTTCTCTACAAGATTATCAGAGTTAGGCTAAGCTATCACAAGTTTTGTGTAAGATGGGTTCCAAAAAATGCTCACGGGTGTGTGCAAAACACAGAGAATGGCTTTGGCTTTTATTTTTTTGGAGCAGTACCACAAAGATGTTGATGAATTTCTCAATCACACCATTTGTGAATGTTGAAACCCTAAGAGCAGTCAAAACAATATCTGCACACACATTCACCAAACAAGCTGAAAAGGTTTAACAAACATCTGCCAGGAAACTGATGGCATCTGTTTTCTGGGACAGGAAAGGAGTGCTGATGGTGGAATTCATGCAACAAGGAATCACAGTAGCATCAGAAGTATGTTGTGAAACACTAAAAAAGCTGTATAAGGCCATTCAGAAAAAAAGGCATGGAATGCTGACATCCAGTGTAGTGCTCCTCCATGATAATATGCATCTTCATGCAGCTGCTTGCACTTTAGCAATGCTGGAGCATTTCAACTGGGAGTAATTTAACCACCCTCCTTACAGCCTTGATCTTGTTCTGAGCAACTACCACATGTTTACCTACCTGAGGAACTGGTTGAGATCACAGTGCTTCTACAATAATGAGGATTTGATGGACGGTGTCAAAATGTGGCTGAGCTCACAGGTAGCAGACTTCTTTGACACAGACATACAAAAACTTATTCCCTGATATGACAGGTGCCTCAATTCCGCCGGTGACTACATTGAGAAGTAGCTTAAGTAAATACATAGTTTTTACATCTAATGTCTTTTTTCTCTTTGCTTGTTTTGTAAGCGGCTCACTGGAGGTTACTTTCTGAATACCCCTAGTATATGAGTTAAAAAGGGCACAGGTATTCACAGCAATGCCTGTCATAGGAGAGTTCCTTGAAATTTGGCCCACTTAGGTGGCTCAGATGAGATGTATGGTAGACAAAATGGCACTGGTGTTCATTTTCTCTGAGTGCTTCAGTTTCCTTTTCTAATTTTAATTCCACCAATGGCTCATATTTATTAACCATCCTGTCATTGATGATATATAGTCTTGAGACTGACACCATCATTAAATAATCAACTTAAAAAACTTAAAATTTGTGAATTACTACAGCTAGTATGGCATCTGAGCAGTGCTAAAAATGTTATTACCGAGAACTTATTTCAGGTGACAGTAATAAACTAATGGAATTAATGAAATGCAGGTTATTTGCTTAAGGTTGAAAAATATGGGAAATAATTGAACACTGTCTCAAAATGTGTAGTATGTTTGTTGCAGTGTGTTCAGAAAATGATCTAGTGATACTGTGTAAATATATCTGTGTTGCAGGAGAGAGTTCAGACAGTGATCAAACACTCCATAGAGGAAGTGATGCAGTGCCACCCATGTCCTCCCATTATGCGGATGTTTCAAGAGCATGGGATATTATGGATATTATGAATAATATGGAGGTAGTGTTTGAGTTGTAGGACAGAGTACCGAGGAGTTTATTTTTCCCTAAGAGCATGGGCACTGGCTGTGGGGACAAGGGTCAAGCCAGGTATCTGGCTCTCAGTTCGATTTTCAGGAAAAGTCAATTAAGAAAGAAAGAAATGTACTAATATTAATATGAAAAATCAGTCATTTTACATTTTACACATAAGTTTGTAAACAGAATTTCTGCCTTCCCCCCTCCCACCCCACCAAGAAGAAATCTTGGCTGTGATGATTCCTAAAGGGAAGAAATTAGCAGAAACTTGGAGAAAGTTGAAAAATGAGAAACGTCTTAATTTGTATCTTCAAATAAGAAGGTGATCGGAGTGAGGGGTTTGAGATGAATGGGAAATTAAGAATGCGTGGGGGTGATGAGGAATGTATATCAAATTTTAATCAGAAAACCTGATGGGAGGAGAAAGTTTGGAAGACTTAGACATAGATGGAAGGATAATATTAAAGCAGATCTTGACATTTATAGTGTCAAAGTCATAGATATTATGTAATCATATTTGCTCTCTGATTTTTACTATTTTTTTTATTATTTCTCACAGAACAGAAATTAATTGTGAATTAAACCAGGAAGTAAATGAAAAGCAGATCAGATTAGGGCCCTTTCAGTTATGTTTATGCAAACTTCAGACTCAACAGATGTTGTTATTAAATTTTAAAGTAGATCACTGATGCACCGCATATTTGAAATTATATAATTATACTATATTGAATTTCATTTTGTAATAATACAGCAATCTATATGCTTTTTCTTTTTTCCCCCCTGCAGACAGTACATAACTGTGATAATCCAGACTGGATCAAAGAGAGTCCTTTTGAAGAAACTGGCCACACACATGAAAAGTAAGTACTGTATATATCCTTTTTTTAGGAATAAACATTTTCAGTTTTTTAAGTATCTTATTTACTGAGATATTCTGTGGTTACTGGATTATGAGGCAGTATATCTTTGCGGAAGTCTGCTTTTGTGTCACTGTAGCCACATAAAAATTTGAGGCTCTTTTAAATCTTAGAAGGAATTATCTTATTATTGTACATTTGATAAATATCAGAAAGTATTTCAGAAGGATGTATGCAGTTCTGTAGTTTATCTTCATAAATGGCATCTATTGTTTATGACTATCATTTATGTAAATACATAAATACTACATGTGGTAGAGCTGTGATATTGTAGTTAATAAAATGGACTATAGGTGAGACAGCAGGGTTTCACTACTGATGTGGTTCTTAGGACTTCTCACTACACCATTATTTACAGGATAGTGGGCAAGGTCCATAGAAATTCTGTGGGGAATTCTCCCCTCAGCCCCATATCTTCTATTCTTTATCCTTTTATACCTTTATCTTCTTCCCTCCCTTCTTACTTATTCCTTACCGTCCCTTTTATTTGGCAGTCCTACCATCATTCCACAGGGTTTAGAAAGAAATCAGAGCTGCTGTACATTAAAACACTGAATGAAGTCATGCCATTTTAGGTACAGATCTATCATCTTTGTATGAATGTTAAGAGTCAGTGTTTTATTAGTAGTACACATAATCTGCCATAAACGGTATCCTCTGAAATTAACTTATCCTTTTATTCAGTGTGTACATGGGGCTGTGTACCAGGCAGTAAATGTAGTGAGAAAGTGTAGTTCAGTACTCACCTACATCTAATGCCATGATTAAGAATATGTGGAAGTTTTCCTCCATATCTCTATAAGATTTTTCGGCAGGAGTGGCTACCTAGGACTTTTTTTTTTATTTTGAGAATTTTCCTTTTTCCTGTCATTCTTTCCATCATTTGCATATCAGCATTAGTATTGATAGTGCTGTATAGTCCCATGAATTCTTATAGCATTGCCAAGTAACAAGTCAATTGACGAGCATGAATTATGACTCATTTCCTCCACATAACAATCATAGTAGAAACTGCACTCTTTAGTTTAGTATAACTGTTTCATTTTCAGCATAATTAAATATCTCATACATTAACAAAATTTCATTTGAATGGTGTGACATTCAGTTTTAAAGTGAAAGAAAATGTGCACTACTCTCAAAATATATCCACAAAAATATTTCTGAAAATACTGCACATCAAAGATTAATTTGGTTTTGAATGGTAGTATAAAATGTCTTGGTCAGGTTGAAAGTTATATTTAGTAATTATTTACTGTTCACTTTCTGCAAAATACACGTTTTTGACAATAAGCTTTAGGTGGCTGTGGCTGTTTGGGATAACATGGTAATCTTGGGAAGTGCAAAATTCTTTATACATGATAGTTTGCTCAAGCATATAAACATGGACAAATTATTTTTCCTTATTTTATCTCTAAAGATATAGATGTTATTGCAAAAGTAATCGTGGTGTAAAGTTGTTTAATGTCTTCTCTGTTTCTATCTCATAATTTGTAGCTTTGATTGTGCCTTAAATATAGGAACTTGATTATGTGTGTTATATTTACGCGGGTTCAAACCTGGCAGAGGTTGTGGAATTTTTAAGGGCAGAAAAATTCAGGGAACAAGTCCTCCGGTAAGCCATGGGTCCCGTGTTGTAGATTTACGGCACGTAAAAGATCCTCGTGTCTCTAGGAGACCTCTGAGCAAAATTAGGCAAAAGTTTCCCACCCAAGTAGTTTCCAGTGCCTCCGGTAGATGGGAAGTTATCGGGTACCAATGCCAGTAGAGGGCCGACCTCGCTGGCAGAAAGGGGAGAGTAATCGGGTACCACTGCCAGTAGAGGGCCGACCTTGCTGGCAGAATGGGGAGATAGCGGGCACCAGTATCAGTAAGGTATGGCGACAGTAGAAATTAAAGGGGGACATACAATAGACTATTAGTCGCAGTGCATGGGGGAAACCCACCCCCTCTATACTGAATAACTGAACTGAATGTCTGTTATATGCACTGGAGATAGATTAGAAATTAACACTAACTCTATCAAGCAGCAGAAAGGCTAAATGCTACCATTGTGTGAGGCACTAATATGTCTAGTACACATGAAAGAAAAGCACCAAGTAAACAGAATGCTTGACACAGTGCCCGCATCAAAGTTTCTTTCTATACAAAAATATCATTTAATTAATTTTAAATTGTTTGGAATAATATGTTTATATTTCTTTCTCCCACTGAAATTTTCTTTTGTCTCTACCACCCGGTAATATTTGCATATCAGCATTCCAAAATGGCAGATTTGTTAGGTATGAAGGATCAATCTGAATGCTGTCTAAACTGGAAAAGGTCATGTAACTATTAATTTCTTGCTATATTATTGCTTGTCCTATTTTCATGCTGTGGAAGAGGTACAGTATTTACAAAATTGTCAAACACATTCAGAATTGGTAAGAAATCAACTTATTCCAGTTTAAATTAGAAAGTGTTTAAAGAGAAATTGCTAGTGAAAGACACTGGTATGGTTTGTTGTCACTTACATTTTGTTTTGTATGTATGAGTTGCCATTGCCTCAATAAAAATAAAATGCAAATTGAATTAGAAAGCTCCATATTTTTTAATCTCTGCATAACCTAATTGCTGTACAACAGAAGTAAACAGTTTTAACAAATCACTCCCATTAATATGGTGGTTATGAAATACCTTATTTACAGTGTGATGGGAATACTCTTAAATCTGTTAGCACACTATATGATTTAGTTTACTCATTGCATGTGTAAAATTAATTCAGAGGTATGGAAGTAAATGCATCAAAATTAGCACACAGCTTCTGAGTACATATACATCTTCTATCTTGTGGCTAAACTATTTCAGCTTTCATCCAGCACTGTTTTACTCATGTAAGAGTAGTCATCATTCACATGGGCTAATGTCCTGCAGCTGTCACTATATGACAGTGAATTAGGAAATAATTAAATTATTTACTCCGTAAGTTGTGGTAGTGCATATAACAAAATAAATTATGGTTACAGTGATATGAGCACAGAATGGTTTTCCACATGGGTACTCACATTTTCTCAAATTGCCTTAGCAACGAACTTAAGTTTAATTCCTGCATGAGTATACTGATAAATTTATGAATATGCAGATATTTAGTATCTAGGAATAATGGGGGATAGTTTTTGTAATTAAGGTGTCTTTTCTTTCGCATATCTATAAATTTAAATTCACCCGCTGTATAACTGCTGTATACGTATATTGTCAGATTAGACCTATATGTTTGTTTTCTATATCTCTTATAGCCACAGAAAAGTAGCTCAGTCTTAACTAAGATGTGTAGATAATCTAGAGCATCTAAAGAGCCACTCCTATGGCTCAGAAGATAAATTTTAGGGTTGGTGAGAATAAGAAAGGGGTACAAGAATTAAATCCTGATCACTGTTTAGTGTAAGGTTCTGTTCCTTTGACAGTGATGATAACATTTGATAATGTGTTTTTGAAATATGAATTATTTTGAAATGAGACATTTTGGATGCCATTACAGAGTACTGTTTTCCAAGAGTTTTCTTTTATAATAATTATTCGTGGAGGTACATCTCGAGACATCAGCATGAGGCAGTCATGTTATCACTGATGTGACATGCTCAATCTTAATCTTTTTGTCTTAAGGCTATAGTAATTTCCTGATTGTCTTGTCAGTCATTAGCCATGTCAAATTTTCATAAGGCCAACACAAAGAACTGTAGTAGCAGCCCTTTCTGAAGAGGGGTGTTCAATCCTTGCATACAAAGAAAATTTGACATTGGATATTATACTGTTAGATATGCTCTCTTTATCCATGTCATCATACCGCATTTATAGGCTTATGCTTTTGTTCAGTATGTAAAACATATTAAGTGTTTGAATGGATACTGAATGGGAAATTAGTATTTTCTTATTAATTAGTAAAAAGCAGCCACTTCATTGAACCACATATCATGTGCATTGAATTAGTCAATTTTATTAATAATTGATAATATATTGTTTTCTAGAAAAGGAGTTGTGTTTCTGTGATGAATGACCAATGACATAATATCTTAGATTGGCAGATTAATTCATTATTGTGTCTGATCCAGAATGAATTTGATTAGAAACTGAGATTACCTCTTAATCACAAAATCCCTAAAGTTTCAGATAAGTGGAAGTGCAGCCACATTCATAACTTTTTGTTCAGATGTTATTTAAAAACTCAGTACTACACCTTTATGCAGCTAATTAAATATTACTTCTGCTCTTGCATGTATATGAGCATCTGATATGCTGGAGGTTGGTATAGCTAATATATAATGACAAATTGCTTGTATGCGATGTATATTGCACTAATAATGGTAATGCTATTGCTTTCACTACACAGTGTAACCACGATGGAACGAATATGGGTTATGATGATAAATTCATTATAGTGAGATAAAACATCAGCCTTACAGATTTCTTAATGTGATGGGGTTGACAACTTCTAGTTGCTCCAAGTACTCAGGCTAGTGCTGCATCCATTGTGTGCTGCCAGTCTCACCAGTGCTCTTCAGAAGACCCATGTCCTCTGTGTTAGAACCATAACCTTTTCAATTGAGGCCATCATTGTAATGAGCAGTTCCTAGCCAGCTGTGACTTCTTTTCTGCAATATTTTGTATCAACTTAACTTGGAGATTTGCTTCTCAAGCTATTTGAAGCTGTCAGTACATGTAAAGGTGCAGTTAAACAACAGTCTGTACCTCTTCATTGTCTGGGAGTGGAAAATCTGTGTTCCAGAATCTGTAGGCATGAATAGAAACTTTACACAGAAAGCTGGCTTGTCAAACTGTTACATAGTTGGAGTGGAGGATGGCAATTTTAGGATTGTATTTACTCCAGTGACTTAAAGGCCAAGGTCCCCCCAAATTTGAGCTGATGTCCATTACATGATACCCCGAGATTTTGCATCCAGTACCTTATT